TTTAGCAATTAATAGCTTGATAATCCGGTACTTTCTCATTGATCTATTGTTACTTTCGTAATTAATAGCAAAACGAAATTACGTTGATGCAAGTTGCGCAGCAAATAGTTACTTTGACTATAGATTAGACTCTTGGTTAAAGATATTTCCATTACATGTGCTTGGTGACACGTCATAGTTCTGCATCGATCTATTATACATAACTTTCACAATTAAACCTCGGGAATAAGTAAAACGGAATTCTTAATTTTTAATTCTTAATTTTTTTTTATAAACTTCATTCGATAATTCTTGTAGTATTGATAATTCTTGAAGTATTGATAATTCTATGATAACGTATCATTTTTGCATCTCATTTTACTTGATCAATCAACCTTAAACGGTTAGAGGAACAACTACTTTTTAGTTAGAGCGCAAAAATCTCTGCAATAAGTCATACCAATACTCTATGGTAGAATTAGAAGCGGACTTATTGACGATTGTATCGAGTTTGGCGCTCTAGATCATTCATCGTTGGTTGGGCAAGGTCAGTGCCACCTGCTTGTTTACAATCTTGTAAACGATAGCAAGAATGCGCAACGCGTTGATGTTGGGACCACGCGATCCATTCCCCTCTCCCCTCCCCCACCTACTCGGCGCGCGAGCAATTCGATGGGCGCCGCTGACTGAGCACGTGCTCATACATACACTCGACTATGCGATTCTCTTAACTCTCATACGTTAGCAAGGCAAATCAGCACAATCGAATCAAATCTATAGAAGTATTTAGTTCATATTTTATTAATTATTAATTTTCTCACTACTAATAATAATTTTTGCACGCTGTGCTACTTCAAAAAAACTTTGGCCCTTCTAACTTAATATTGAAGTAGCAAAAGATGAAAAAGGAAGAGAAAAAAAGTATATGGAGAGAATATAGTTTTCGTCTTTATATGAATTTCTTACAATTTTACTGTCTAAATTTCAGCAGTACTTTAGTAGTTCAGGAATAGACTGACTGTGAGCTTTATCTTGTTCAGGAACATAGTAAATTTCGCTGGAAATATAGCAGATTTTATTAGAAATATAGCAAGTATTTTAATAAGATATTTCAGTTCTTAAAATATAAGTAGCATACATGAAATGAAAAGATAGTGAGTTATTGTATAATATCGGTCTATTTCTCGATTATAAAATTCTTATCGTAGTTTTTTAAATTCTCTCCGCACGAGAGAGAGAGAGAGAGAGAGAGAGAGAGAGAGAGATTGTGTGCAGAAATTCAAAGGACTAAATTTATACTATAATTTGTACCGTTAAATTGGAGTTAATTCATAATTTGAGCACATTCAGTTTCGTTAAAAGAACCTCCTATTGAAGCTTCTACTAAAAATCCTATTAGGCTCAAGACCTTTGCTATTCAGATTCTATGCAGAATCGACCGCCACTTTTATACTCGATGTGCTACGATTGTGGTGTATACTGTTATAATATAAAATTTCAGGTTTTTATCCATGCAGTTCTCGCGAAACTCCTAAGTTTTAGTTTTCTTAAGAGTAAATTCGTCTTTTTTTATGTGATTTTGCTAATTTAATATTAAATTATCAGCATACAAAATTATTATTAGTTATACAAATTAATAATATGATAGGTAAATGATCCGGTTTAATCTAATTTAGCCCTGCTAGCTTTTAAGAGAGGTGCTCGATTGTCGGGATTTAAGCCCGAATGGCGTCCTCATGCGCCTGCCTGTCCGTGTCTTCCCCGAACACATTTGCGTAGGTACAAATAATAGTATCGTCGTTGTGCATCTTACGTCAATCGCACATGGCGCGAATACATGTTCTTAGAGAAGAGATATTTTGAGTACTCGTAATCGAAACGAGATCCGAGATTTAATCGCGCGCCAACATAAGCACGCTGTCCTCAAGTATTTACGAACATATAATTAATTAATAGTGAACATCGTTTTTGACTTGAAACTCTATCTCACTCAACGGGTTATCTCGTTGAAACTATCTCACATTTGAATTTAACAATGAGAAGAGCAATTGTCACAAATGATACAATTATCTCTTTCTCTCTAAAAGCGTGATCGTCTGTAAAATATATTCATACATTTAACAGCACGTTTTCAACAAGAATTATTCGTATGTAATCTTTTCTAAGATATTCGATACGAGCGCCGAATATCTATTTTTGAATCATCGTTCTTTACGAGATACTTTATTACGACAAGGAAGGCCTCTAGATTTGTCGTTGTGTCTAGAGACCGTCGGTTTCACACGCGTGAAGAAGTGCCGCGAGTGCCACTCTGCCATTGTATCAAATTATTTGTGTCAAACAATATAAAGTAGATACGTGCCGGTACACAGTCTCGGTGCAATTGCACAAACGCCGGCGGCTGATACGGAAACGCGGGCGCATCGCTACCATTCCCCGAAGAGATCAGTGGCGTTATCTCGCGCTTCAACGAAATTGAATTTACACTCGTGAGTGCACGGGATTATACGTTTCGAATTCAAATCCACGATTATCTTGTCTCCCACAAAACCTGTGTGTGTATATTCGCGAAATATATTCAAATACAGGAACATTCGCGCTGACACGGGCATTTTGGCTTGCTTTTTCTTGTCAATTTAATCGCAAATTAAACACTATACTTTATTTTATTCTCTTTTATTGACTTAACTCTTTCTTATTATTATATTATTATCTTTGAGGTACAGGAATATAAGACTCTTCTACGGGAAATTTCAGGCGATTATTTTTAAATTTTGTCGTACAAGTTCTTTAAATACGTAGAAACCGCTCAATCATGCCGCGCTGTTTCCGCGAGTGAATTCATCTGAGACGGCGATGTCGATGACCGCGAAAAATTCGATTTCGCTATAATTACGACGAAACTGATTGGACGCGTTGCGACAGGAAACGTCGGGGCGATTTCTTCGCGATATCTAAATATAGAGCGTCTCCCAGAGACAGAATCCCGCAAATAATTAAAAAGTTGACTGCCGCGTGCGAGGATGAGAGCTTAATGGACGTGGATCGAACGGGAGGGGGATAGGTAACGGTGGCATTTTGACGCGTGCCTCGTCGGATAAATCGTTAATGGAGCCAGAAATCCGAGCCATCTGCGATAATACGGCGAGGATGTGAAGAACCGTAGGAACGCTCGGTATTTCTTTCGGTATCATTTATCCGGCGTGGATTATTCTGCGCATCAATCCCGGCGAAGGCGGACAGACGATTATTTTCCATTATTTGTGAGATGGCATACCGCGTAAAATGGTTTTATGAAAGGAAAATAACATCCAAACGCAGCACGCGTATACACACACACAAGTTATATCCTAACTATAGCAAGCTCAGGTAGAACCGATTTTCGAGACTTATTCTGGCACAAGGATATGTTCCCGAGGAAATTGAATGTCGCCCGTATTAGCAGGGTCCATGTAAGACGGAAATTGTAACTGCTGATTGCACGTAACTTATCCGTGACGAAGGCGCAACTTTTCTCTTCCCCAGTAATCTCGCATGACGCACTTATTTCCTTTCTTACGTTAGAAACAATTGGAATTCGCAGACCTTTTACGCGACCTTTAGTTACTGTTCCGTTATTGATTTCCGGTTAAAGAAATTCATTCTTTTATTTACTATTTTGTTCCGGGAACGTATTTCTTTTTTTACTCACACGTTCACTTGTTCAGGTCATCATAATACGACTCACTTCAAAATTTTGTCAGCGGACGAAAAATTATGAAATTCTTTTCTTAGATTTTGTTGGTTTCACTGTACAAAATGTTCAAGTATCCACGATCATAAAGACATGCACCCACACAGGTAATGAATTTAATGATACGCATAATTTGATAATACACAGTTTTTCTATTGCTCAGAGGTTAAACGGTATTACGATCGAATGATCATAATTCGTATGTGTATGTGTGTTCGCATATTGCTTACCTTTTATTTTATATACTAGAATACCACATAGCGCGCGCTTCGCGCCTTTTCGTTGTATTTACAATTTATATTATAATACTAGTTTTTACAAATTATATTTCCAGCAAACACAATGTTACATATAACGTACATGTTAGTTGTAATACGACATTTGTAATGTACAAGTTTGTCTATAAAAATTATATTTTTGTGATAATCTAAAGAATACATTAATAACATTTTTAAAGAAAATCTGTTTCTCGATTTACCAGCTACTAATGGTTTTTTTACTGGAAACATCATAAATTTCTGTTGCTTACAATTTTCGAAAATTTTATTCGCAGTAAAAGAAAGTTAAGGACAAAAAGTAAGAGCTAGCACAAACATATTTCAAATAGTCAATTTAGAAAAAAGGGAGAGTTTTTTTATTTACTGCCATTGTGGGATTTACTGCTTGAGAAGAATTCCTTTTTTCTCAAACATAAACGTTCTCTCCGTCTGAATACAGAATACTGAATTCTTTGAAATTAGAATGTATTATATCTTCGACTCAATCTTGAAACTCAATCTTGAAAAAGATAACATTGTTCTTGTGTGAATAGTTTTATGACCTGCGATATAAGTGGTAAACCTTAAGCAGTAAATAACGATGACAGTGAATAAAAGAACTTTCCCTTTTTTCTAAATTGACTATTTGATATATGTTTGTGCTAGCTCTTACTGTTTGTCCTTAACTTTTTCTTATTGCGAACAAAATTTTCGAAAACTGTAAGCAACGGAAATTTATGATGTTTCCAGTAAAAAAACCATTAGAAGCTGGAAAACATTTAACATATAAATTTATTTATTATTTACATATTTACATATTTTATATACATATACATATAACATTGTGTTTGCTGGGATTACAGTAAATATCAAATTTATATTATAAAAGCTGAGAGAGACTCTAATATATATATGTATATATATATATATATATATATATATATATATATATATATATATATATATATATATATATATATACACACACATATATATTAGAGTCTCTCTCAGCTTTTATAATATAAATTAGGATCCTTCTCTCACATCGAGCTTCTACGTTAATTAATACGTAATGATTCCAATGTTGCTTTTAACCGAGTAACATAAGAATTGCCTAAACTAGAAATCTTTCCGTTACGCATTATGTTCATTTAATAAATTATGCACGTACATCGGCGGTAAGTGATATCCGAATAAATCTGCAATACACGACGCAGCGCGAAAACGAGACGCACACCGATGACGTGAAATACGACAGACAAAATCAACGTTTATTTTATCTTAGATTGAGCAAACGCGAATAAGAACATCATTATCGTAATCTGTTATTCATGTGATTAATATTGCACACCACAAGAACTGTTAACGACGAAAATAAACGTGCGCGCTACGATATATTTCAAAGCCGGATAATATTGTTTTAGACTCGATCGAGGCTGTGATCGAGATTTCGCATAATTGAGAGGCAAAACATCGAACAAAGAATAATTAGCGGATACACGCCTTTCGGGCGGTCATCTGGTAAAACCTCGGGTAAAATTTAAATATTAGTTTAGTGACAGTTTAATGTCTGCGCTTTGGCACGGCTCTGCGCCGATCCGGCTTGAATCTTCAGTAACGATGTTGAAACCAAGCTTATGATACGCTCAGACAAGTCAGCCATAAATAACGACGGTTAATATCGTTTTTCTCACCTTTATTACAACAAATAACTAATATCCTTTTTCCTCTCTCTCTTTCTCTCTCTCTTGAGCCGAGGACGTTTCATATTCGAGCAGATATAGTTCGTTCATCCTGAAAGAACTATACACAGACGAGGGGGAAGAAAACGATATAAACAAATCAACAAACGCGTCTATGAAAAACATATACGTAAAGAGAATATTGTAGTTCTTTTTCATAAAAATTCTTTCCAATTCTGCTATGTTTTCAATAGTATACGAATAGACTGTCAGTAAGGCCTTTATCTTGCTAAGGAACATAGTAAACTTTGCTAGTAGACTTTGCTAGAAACGCAGCAAATGTTTTACTAGCATATTTCAGTTCCTAGGATACACACAAGTAGCACATATGAAATGAAAGGATAATGAATTACCGCAGAATATCGCAGAATGATTCCTCGCATAAAAAATCCTATAGCAATATTTACTATAAAATTCTCTCCGTGTAGGCCGCAAAACCAATTGCGAGTCCTCAAAGAAAGTTCGACGCGAAAGAAACTCCATTCCGTCATGCACGTTTGTCAACGATACAGTCAAAAGTCCACGCATCATTAAAACTTCGTAACTGGGACACCTGTCGAACGCTCACACGTTCTTGTCACCAAGGAATCGCGTCACTCGTAAGTTTCGGTAGGCCGACCAGACAAGACGAGACGGAGCTGTAAAAATAGGAAATAATACTTAGGTCGCCGGTACGATAGCCGGCGGCGAGAAATAATTATGACATTGAACACGTGCCAAGCAAAGCTGAAAATGACATTAATACTCTCATGTTATGATAATAGCAACGGTATAATACGAAATGATAGATGTCTCCTCGAGTGAATTGTGTCGTCTCCTACATTTCTAACGTTGATTTAACGCGCGTTCTTGAATTACACGCGACAATGTTTATTTTGTTAGCCATGACGCGTTACAATATATATATACAATCTCTCGCTACTTTTCCATCGCTGATAAAATCACAAACGACGTAGTCACTGCTACGCCACGGAACTGAACCGAGCATTGTTTTTAAATGTATAATTAATAAACAAGAAAAGCAACCGTAAGCGAGAACATTCCGCGCGTCATTTCCACGATGGCTTGCACGTTCGAATGATAAATCTCCAAGTCTGCCAGCGTGATCTATCACACCACTTCCTCAAGAAGCTTCCAAGGCGTGCGTTCTGCCGATGCACGTCGCTCTCCGAGGAGGCGATTCATCGCGCATCGCAGACTCAAATCCGAGTCGGCCAATTCGTCATTGAGCAGCTTCGAATCGGGAAAGCTGGGGCTAATTTGGACCGAAGGAGCCGCGCGTGGCTCGAGTCCCGAGCGACAGCGCGCCAGAAGATTTTTACGAAAGCGCGACAGACACGCACGAGGGACGTCGGGGAACACCCGCGGAGAGGAGGACGACGGACGTTGGACGGACGGACGAACGGACGGTGTGCAGAAGGTAAACGGAGGCGGACGGCACGAGCGAAGCCGAGGAAGAGGGAGCAAAAAGAGCCGCGCAGGCGCCGGCCTAACGTGGAGAACGCTCGACGTCCGCGTGGCGCGAGTTAGAACTTGACTTGGTGCTTTCAGTCTTGGCCCGTCCCTTCGTCCATCCTCGTCCTTGCCAGGCAAGAGAGAGAAAGAGAGAGAGGGAGAGAAAGAAAGGGAGAGAGAAGGAGAGAGAGAGAGAGAGCAGCCCCTACGGCGGGACCCTGCGTCAGTACCCCGCCGAAGCCGGCTGACAGAAGGAAAGTATGCATTCGGAGTCTCGACCGATCGTAGGAAGAAGGACGCGGTGTCGAGGAGCACCCTGCACGATCCACCGACCGAGCCGGCTCACTGTTCACCAGCAATTACGAAGAGCACCGCGATGAAGAAGACCACGCGTCGTCCACGTGCCTTCTGCGAGCTCACAGCAACGTGACTCCACGTGTCTCCAACAAAGTGTGAGAGCTCGTCCTCCAGGCAAAATTTCGAATTTAACTCTGCGAGCAACTTTCACGTCAACGTTTTTAGACTGGTGTCATTGTCTCTACTGCGAAATTTTAGGCAAAGATGAGATTGCTGAGTTGAGAATAATTCAGAAGTAACAATCATACTGTGAAATCCGGAGATATCCGGATATATCGGAAGAATAGTATTCTGCCAAGTCGAAGGAAATCTGCAAGCTGCGCCTGTTACCGATCGATGTGGACGATCGCGACATGTCGCAGGAGATTTTGCCGCGTGGGGAGGCAGCCACGATTGCAATGAGCGGTGCTCACGTGTCAAAAAGGAGCAGCCGTGCTCAACGTCGTTGGCGTATCCTGGCACGAGCGCTGACCGGCTCACCGGAACCGGCCGGCAGCGACTCCGAGGAAGAGGTCTCGGTGCGACGGTTCACCAGTTTCGGCTTGCTCAAGTGTACACTGCTGGAGAACACGCTGGCGGACGGCGAGTCCAGCTGGTGCGAGTATTCGACCGAGCTAGACGGCCGACTTTACGACGTGCAGGTACGGCGAATCAGCAAATGCTTCACGGCGAGCGAACTGATCGGTTTCAACAACACCGGCAACGTATGCGTCTGGCCGTCCGAGGAGTGTCTGGCCTACTACTTGCTGAGGAACCGCAGCCTTTGCCGGAACCGGAGCGTCCTTGAACTCGGTGGCGGCATGAGCTGCCTGGCCGGCGTCCTCGCGGCCAAGTACTGCAATCCCAGCGCCGTGACACTCACAGACGGCAACGTGACCAGCGTGGACAACGTGCGTTGCATCGTCGACAGGAACGACATGACGGATCTGGTGGAGTGCGGCGTCGTGCAGTGGGCTCGGGCCGCCAGGGCTCTCAGACAGGCGGCGGTCAATGGTAACCGCGTTAAGGTGAACGCTTAAACCTGACCTGACACCGAAAGATCGCTCGATAGTCCCATGCGAAAAGAAGTTTTGCCGGATTAAGCAAATTTCTGGTGAAACATTAAGGAACCTTCCGATTGAAGTTGCCAGAGTTCTGTTCGAGTTAGCAAGATTTCTGGTTAACTCGAGCAGAATTCTGGTAACATCAGTCGAAATTTTCTGGTTCGTTCATATTTCACCAGAGATTGCTTTAGTCCAGCCAAACTTTTTTTCTACAAATTAAGCTCGAGGTTACTATTACTGCGGGTATTAGCAACTGTCAAAACAACTCATCGAGACGTTAGGGTCGGCTCGAACAAATGAGGATTAACGAAATTGCATTGAAAATAAAATTCTTGAATTTGATATTGAGCAAATACTCGATAAAGTTCGAAAATAGCATTGTTATAGATCTTTGAAGCCTTCTCCTCAGTTCGGCCTTTAATTAATGATGGCATTCATAATTTGCTCTTAAATTGTATCGTTAATACGTTAACATATTGAAAAGTGGCATCTTTATTTTTACGACATCAAACGCGCCATTTTTTCAGAAGCCATATTTTGCCAAATTTCTGCAAAGAGCGTAATATAAAATACATGTGAAAGAAGCGTATTCTCAAAGCGATATTGTCGGGGCAATATCGTAGCGCGACAGGGATGTTCCAACGATGAAACGCGGCCACAAAGACGGGAAATTAAATATTGAATATGTTAATGAAAAAAAGTATTTTTTACTCTGAAATCACGCGGTCTCTGCATTGCATAAAGATGCGTCCTATCATTGATTAAAAGCGGAAAAATTATATTATTATAAAAATTATATTATATTTAAAATTAATAAAAATTAATAAAGTGAATAAATAAATAGATAATAAATTAATAAAAATTAATAATATTAATAAAAATTAATTATATTGTAAATTTCCATGATAATGAAAAATACGCCGGTTTTCTTCCTTTTTCTTTACGAAACACGTACTCTATTCTCAAATTCTCGAATTTGCAATAGCGTTTATGGATACTGGAAATTCAGCGCGGTTTCGCGACAAATATGAAGCGTTCGAATTCGTATGAGTTCCGAGGATCTGTCAGTGACATTGGGAATTGAAGGGTCAACTTCGTACTTCGCTAATCGCGGCACAGAATTCAGTCTGGTCGCCGACCCCGCGGTCGAATAATACGTCCGTAAAGTCCAACTCCGATGCCGACGTGATCTGCATCGGTGCCGAGGACGATGACGAGAGCCCGCTAACCGAGTCGACGGATCATCGGATATCGACACGCCCGGCTTCGCGGTCGCACGTCCTGACGAGCGCGCTGCTCGTCGCCACGATCAATGAGTCATCGCGGTCATCGCGAGTCGATGAATGGAAAAATTAAGGCTTCGCCGAGGAAATGCAGCCGGGAATTGCGATCCTAGAATAGATGGTGGATCGATGGAAAACGACGATTCGCGATCGCTCAATTACGAATAGTCCGTGTAGTCGTCGCGAAATCCGACGGCGGGATCCGTGACCGTTTTCGAGGAATTCACCTCTGTAAAAGTTAGAGAAAATTTGAGGGCGCAAGAGAAATTCAAAAAGTTTGACTAACGACTATACAAAAAATTTATTAATTTACGATTTGTACATGGAAAAAAGATATGATGCATGTAATCAGACGTATCTAGTGAACAGTATAGTCGCATCTCCCTTGTTACCTAGTTATTTTTATGGTAATATGTATGGTTGATATGATACACATTTACTTTGCATCAATCGCGCGTAGATCTGGCAGCCAGATGTGGCAACCAGAAATTGTTCGGAATGACTACTATGGATACTTCCTAGTTTGATCAGGAATATCATCACTATAACTCAGCAATTGCTCTGTTGATAGTAAAATATGGAATAACTAATTATAATATCAACAATCATATAATTAATTGTTCCATATTTATTATTGATCTGGTTGGCACAACCAAATTTACGTGTGGACTAACCATACTGTTTGTTCTGTATACATATGATCATTTCTCTAAAAAGCTTGATGCACCAAGCGTCATGTCTCCGCAAGATACGCGTCGCGAAAGCTTTCTGTTATGAAACACGTACTACGTTATGGGGTCACGTAAGAAAGACACGCGCTGTCATGACATATTATGAGATGCCATTATATCATGATATAGCTGTTACGGACCGCCGAGAGGATACATTAGAAAATATTCATTCCGCATGAAAAATTATGCCACGCCTGAATCGCTTCTGGATCTTTCGAACAAAAATTCAATGTTCACGTCGCTAAAACACATAAGTTGGCATCAAAAGTTACGAGGTTAATCAATTAATGTCCCACACTACAGATATATAATTATTAGTAACGCACAAAAATTTTCTTCAGACAACACCTTTGATTTCAGTGTAACACATTTGATATGCGCGGCATGACTGATTTCTCTACATTTTTTACGCCGTTCGCGAAAAAGATCAAAGAAGATGCGGATAGGAGGGATCACATCTCGTCATAGCGTTTCTCGGTATAAGCGTATCGGAGACCACCCACACGAAATCCCCGTGTGATCATTGTGATGCTCGCCCCAGATATATAGACGCGTCATTCGAACACTTCCGGCTAAAGCTCAGCTCCATTTCCTGTTGCCTTCATAATGTAGCCTCTGCGTTCTTCCGGTCACTCTCGACGTTCCACGCAATTGGCATCTTTTTCGTGGGAAATTTTCGCTCGAACAGTACCGATCCGAGACCGTACCGACGCTGAAATCGGAAATTTATCGCGATCGACCGAGATTAATTGCAAAAGCAGACGTTTGTCTGTTCGCGTCTATTTACGCGGGGACTCCCGTCGACTTTATCTGAAAAGTTCGACGTTGAATGATAGAACGTCGTTTTCTATGTGTCCGACATTCACGATCGAGCTATTCTGGACGTTTCCTCTTTCGCTCATTAAAGCTAATATACGATTCGATCGTCCATCTGTGTCACACATAAATAATAACAACCAAAACGAAAGTACCGTGCGAGCACGATGGTCATTTTACTATTCAAGTATCAGTTGAAGCCGCAAATCGCATCGTAGATGTGATCATGATTAATATGTTGATATCTCTTTAATTTATGACCGTCTTCTCGGAACCGCATCTCGTGCGAAAAACCGACATATCTTCTGCGACGATTGCTTTTTCCACGATAAGATGCATTATACGAATCGTGTTTTATTTCTAACGACGCGTTGGAAATCTCTCTCGAATCGTATCTTGTATGAAAAACACCGACACATCCTCTGCAGCGGATTACTTTTTCCATAGTAAAGTACATTATGCAAATTATTGGGTTGATCCATAAGTCCGTGCGGATTTTTAAACAACATTGAAATGCGTTTTATTCTTATTAAAAGTATAATTTTAATCGATAATATATACATTCTGTTCAATCTTTTGCTATTTTTCACGTAACTTCCTTATTTTCTTCTCGTAAAACTCTTATGTTTTTCCGGCAAAGAAACGTTCCAAATAATCTTTTACATCTCTTAAAGAAACGAGGTTTATATCGTCAAGGGAGTTCTGTAAATGAACGAAACAGATGATAATCAGAAAGGACAATGTCAGGTGAACATGATGGGTGAGGCAGAACATTTCAGTCTACTTTAACAATTTTTGCAGAAGTAAAAAAACATAATGCGTCAGAAAAACTCATTACTGCCTTTTCCACTTTCAAGCCGCAACAAAAACAATTGTACTTTTTTAAACATTGTCACTTACACCACAAAATACGTTCTGAAATGTCAAAGCGTACATATAGCGTATACATATGGCCACATAACTTCATGGAATTATCCTCTTAATGCCAACACGTGAATGCCAACTAGACAAAAATTCGCATGAACTTATGGATCGACCCAATACGTTTCATTTCTAACGACATTAGAAATTCTCGCGACGCGTTACGTTGGACAGTGACTTGAATCAAAATTCGCGGACGTATGCTAGTGGCTTGATCCTGTTCCTGGTAACCAGACTGAAATCTGGATTCCCGATTGTGATTTCTCTATGTAGACCCGGACGGCTGACAGCGACGAAGACGCGCGATTACCGTCGAGCCTCTACGACATGATCCTCTGCGCTGACTGTCTCTTCTTCGACGACGCGCGACTGGACCTAGTGGAGACTATCTACGGCTGGCTGGCCGATGACGGGGTCGCCCTGGTGATGGCACCCAGACGCGGCACGACATTCCAGAAGTTCGCCGAGGCGTCCATCAGACGCGGCTTCATAGCGCGCCAGACGGAACGATACGACGATACGGTCTGGTTGAGGCATCTGCAGCTGTTGCAGAATAATCCGGAGTATTGCCCAGATCTGCACTACCCGGTGCTGCTGGAACTCACCAAACAGAAGAAGACGTCGCCTGGATGATGGGGCTCGATCGAAGACGACGAGGACGATCAACCGGACGAGAGCGTCAGCGAGGGATAAGAAAAAGTGTTTGCGACAGTTTCTGATTCGCCGGCTGGATCGTATGCACTTTATTCGCGCTCATAGCAGAGGTTGTGTGAAGAGAATGAATGTACTTTCCTTCCTCTCTCCCCCCTCTTTCCCTCCCCGAGCGGAGACCTACGCTATACGTAGAGTTGTACAAGACTGCAGTCTATGTCGTCAAGGCAATGCCAAGGCCGACATGTTATTCGTGCGTCCGATTAAGCGTTTAGCGCTCGTGTGCATCCGCGGATCGATCTGCCGCTCGTACGCATCGTTCCACATCGTCGCTAGTGCCGCAAAAAAAAAGAGTCCGAGAGGGTAGGTTTTTATATTATGCGCGAGGATTGAAGAGGTTTGTGTAGCCGATCTCCGCTTCGTTAATTAATCCGCACGTTGAGTGCGCGCGGTTGATATTCTCGATCGAACTCGCATCCCGTACAAGAATCCAAGAGTACAAATGTTAATAATATTTGTACTTTCGACGTTTCACACACTTATTCGGACTTAATGATGCGTAAATTGATATACAGCCGATGTGTATTTGTCACTTCGATTTGTAGCGCATTTCGCAGCGCGATTGTTTGTAGCGAATAATGCGCCGAGTGACGCGAGCAGTTCTATAATCTTTCGCCTTAAATTAATCCGCCGTATCGTAGGTCGTGAATATTAGTCTCACACGTAGCAGGTGAGACTTTTGGCACCACTTTACACGCAGCGTGTAGTGCGACGAAGAGCGTAAGAATGTCGAGCGGAAACTTTCCAAACGAGTGGACTCGTCTCTGACGAAGGGGGAGGGAGGCAGAATTCGGAACTTATAGGCAATTTCGGGTCATCCGTTTGAGGTATTTCTTTCACGTAGTACGGACGAGATGAAGACTGTGTCGCGGAATGAGGTTAGTCGTCGGTTCGACAAAGACGTGGAAGAGATTAATGCTGCCGATTTAACGTTACAAGAAAGAAGTTACGAGATAAAACTACGAATTATCAGTTCGTTCCAAGATAAATATGACGGTGTCTGCCACACCCGTATTGTTCTTTGCTCGGGCTTAAAGCGTGACCGTTGACTGGGAGGACTCTTCTTAGGCGTACCTGATTTTATATCATGCCGGCTGCAAACGTCGCGACGAGGCGATCGACTTTCGGATCTGATGCCGCAGATTAAAAGGTCAAAGTACTAATATCTGCACCTAATTCTCGGCATTCTTATTTCTTCTGGCCTCCAAATTAGTTCGGAAGGGCAAATTTAAATACTCGAGTTTAATGGGAAATAAAAAGAAGAAATAAAAACGTCTAGGATTAGGAGCATTGATATTTTTACCTTAGAACATCATTTATAACGGCGAGACAATAGTCGTAAGTTTCTCGATCGTCAGTCCGGGACCCCGACATTAAGTAGATAGCTCGAAGTACTTCTCGAGATCGTCGTTCATCGCAGCCGGCAGGACCAATGGTAAAGACCGGGTAGTATTTAAATACTGGGCTATGTAACTGCTAGGCATCCGTATTGTTTCTAGCGAATTCTGTTCATCGCAAACTTGCGCTAACAAATATCCTCGTGGATTATTGGGAGAATCTAGTGTCAATATATTACCAATTAAACAGATGCTATTGAGGGTCCAAAAAAATGTGCGTGTGTGTATGTTTGTGAGAGGAGTCAAGTGGCACAGAAAAAAAAGAATGTCGACATTTGTCGATTCGGCGATAAACTCGGGAGAGATCCAAAGTGTCAATAAAATATTGATTATTACGCTTGTTACACTATAGATACACTGCTATAATTGGCACTATATAATTGCCAGAGAAGTTTAAGGACATCCATGAGGGAACGACTTTTACGCAGGTCGATTTGACAAGGGGTGTATAGTGATTTATTTATTTATTTATTTATGCTCGTATATATTTATACATCTTATGATGACAAATTTCTCGAATAGTTATTAGATACTTCCGAGAGCGTTCTGAACCCATTACCTCAAAGGACCAATCATATATATATATATATATATATATATAGTTAAGTCTAGTCAGATCCACCAAACTTCCATTGTTACGTACCTACTTACGTAGATTAGATGTGATTAGATAAAGAAAGTCGCTCTTTCCACTCGTGTAACACGGCGAGCTATAACGAATAGGGAGAAAGTTAAATGATCGCACCACGTAGAATAAAGGGTTAATTTTATATGAAAAAAAGAAAATGAAGAAAGGGTTAATCTTTTCTCACGTGCGATTGTCCTTTTTCTGAGGTTCAGGTCACCATAGCCATAGAAGAGAAGGTTTTTTTCGATCCACATCCGCTAGGTGGAGAATTTATGGACTCTTTGTAGCCCTGGAGAGTTGTTGTGTACACGTGCGTTATGCGCATGAGAGAAAATCTCCATAGTAATAAACTATTTTCACTTAGAGCGCCGCCTTTTACCCCTGCCCGTCGTTGTACTTGCGTCGCGTGATAATGAAAACACATGATTGATAACAGAGCGCGATCGCGCACCGGTACACGTCGGAATAAGTAATACCATACGTTCAACATTCGTCCAGCATGTCCTGTGCCTTCCTCTCTATCGTGTAATAGCTATATTTGCTCGCCTCGATTCTCTGCCTATGTAATCAACTATACATGTACGTAAATATCCCTGTCTCCTCCTCTCTTTCTCTCTCTTTCTGCACATTTGCCAGGATCTGACGCAATCTCCGCGAGACTGTCTGGTTTTTAGTGTCACGTTAGATTCAGTCAGATGTTCTCGAGGAAGTTTTAAAAGGCGCGGGCGACTTTTCAGCAATCCCGATCTCAGCTCGCCGGTTTGTCTCCCGCACTCGCGACACGTAACTCATCGCATTCCAGGGTGAAATAAAGCGTATTTGCGAGAAGGACACGATGTAACGCCATGATAAATTGCATTTCGAGAAGTTGTTAGTAAATACTCAAGCAAAACAGGCGTTTCCCGCGGCATACGGGATAAAATGTTAATACAGAAAGCGAAATATAAACATCATTCTTCGTATTTTGAGTTCACGATTGAATTCACAATTCACAAAAACTGAACGAACTGAGTGGTCGTCGGTCAATTTTGGTAAAATTTGAAATTGACGATGCACAAAGCAGGACCAATTGCAGAGAGAAATATCGTTCCATTAAATAACGCGAATTCTCGTAACACAGCCATGTGATTGTTTATTTTTGCCAATGAACATAACAGGAGCCGAGACCTCGATTCGCTCGAAGGTTACATCCGATCGCCGGAATCTAAAAATGAAATCTCTGATGGATGGTTGCGATTAGCATCTGTATTCCGTGACGAATGATAGAACTAAATAAATTACCTCGGGAAGCGAAATCAATCTCGAGCGTATCTCTCGAGGAACATACACATACCTACCGTTTATTTTATTATCCGGCAACGCGCTCACGTGCATGTTGAGTCGGTTTAGAGACGGCATGTTATTTCGTGCGACACGGAGTTGCAAATTTAAACGCGCCGAATTCAACGAGATTTCCACGGAAATTACACAGCAATCGTTCCGTCCGATCGCGTCACGTGCGTTTATCGCTCGCTTTAAATCGCCACTAACACAGTTATTACAGGACGAGCCACGAAAGAGCATCTCTAAACAAAACCGCAGTTCGCAGCACTGCGTTCCGTAATCGCGCAACTGCGACGACCGCGACGTAAATTCACATTGTTACGTTTGGAGAACGATCTACGTTTCGAGGGATTATTCCCTCCTGAAATCGCGACAGATGTTGATTGATAAGACACCTCCTGCGTCTATAGAAGCCCCATTCATGATATTAGAACATTCAAGTTGTCATTTGAAGGCAACAACACGCTGACTATTGATATTCGATAGCGAGACTGATCACGATATAGCTTAGAATGGTGCACGGCTATTTTTAGATTCTTAGACGTTTGATGTAGCCACTTACAACACTCGTAATTATTCCCGCGAGAACACGGAGTGGCTATAAAAAGGGAACGCGTCAGCGATTCGTTCATATAATTAGACACTTTCCTCGTTGTACGACCTCGTTAAAATCAGTGTAACTAAGCGTGTGCGTGTCTGGCTTGATCGATCGTGGAAGCGAATTTCCATTGCGTCCAGAAATGGCCGTGACGTCGCGCTGGGAATAGATTTTTCGTCCGTCCGCGAGATTTTCCAAGCGCAAGTGCACTCGCCGCAAGTGCGTCCCGTTACTTTGCGACAAAGGAAACAGCTGATCGGGATCGAATCCCTCGAGGAGGCCTCGAGCACCTCAGGCTTCAACCTGAGAGAGCTCCGAGATGGAGATTAATCGCACAGTCATCAGCCGGGTCTTTCACTATATTTAATCTCACATTTAGTGGCCGCGATCTGATCTTCAATTAAAATCAAACGAATATTTTAATTACGCGTTACGTTAATTCAGCGGCATTAATTCGGCATGTGAAAATCCGAGTTGGATATTCGCGTAAGTACGCGGAAAAAATATGCGGAGATAACTTCGTAAAAGGAATTCGTAATTCGTGTTGTGCGCGCGAAATCAGACCAGCGCTCTCTTCGATGCAACGCCGTCTCCACTCGCATAATGATTGCCGTGTAGTTGGCATATTAAATCACACTGTCGAAATAAGTATTTGCATGCATAATCATATGCGATTCGTGCGCTCTTTATGAATTAACTCTAAGTTGAGAGACGAGCACCGACTCACACAATTGTGTCGTTTATTCTATCTTACTGACACAATGGCGCGCTGGTTTTTAACCTCGATTCGCGAATCAGCTGAGATATTACAGGAAAATTCGAAGCTAGAGGTGCAAAAATAACGCGAGGATTTTTAACGTGCGGGATATAATAGAATATCGCGTGAAAGTTTCTCTTTCTCTCGCGCACTCTTCCTCTATAAAGAGGTCAAAACGTCTGCAGGGAAACTGTAACGACTCCACCGCGAGCTCGTTAGGGAGGACCGTGCGTTTTATTGGACCGACGGGTTCTCGAGTTTTTTTTTTTCTCGACGATGCAAATCCCGACTTAAGTTCGCGACCATCGTTGCGCGTCCATCCGCATAATTCCCGGCATAAATCGCGCCTTGAAACTTCCCCGGTGGTGTCTTCGCTTGGCACTGCAACGTTAAATAAACGCTTTATGTCCGACAGATTCGGCGAAGTAACGGTCGTAGAACTTTATCCCATATTTTACGGAGCTCATCAAAATGCTATTACGCCTCATATTTTACGGAGCTCATCGTAACGCTATGAGCAATCTGTCGAATATTGACCCGGGAAAATAGAGATGCATCGATAAAATCTTTCGTATTATATTTTGTTGCCTCTTGGATTTTACATGCATGCATTTCATTGCTCCAGCTTAGATGCCAAAAAGGCAATCGTTTCGCTGCAGCAATCTGTGCTAAAGGGTGACTAAATGAAAGTCAACTTTGCGCATTATTAACTCTTCGTAAATTTAGCCGTGTACTTGATCAATTAGCTTTGATCAATTAATCTCCATAATTCGAAGTCCCTAAAAAATTAATCTTCTATAGAGGGGAGAAACAGCAACTTGTTACCCGAGTTATTTCTCAAGTTATTCGAGCGCTTTTTTTCAGGCGACTACATACACCCGAACTCGTCACTGAGGATTTTAAAGCGACGAATGATAGAAAACAGTTTTAGTAGACAGCAAACACAGTGCCAATATTTATTAGTAAGACAGCCGCTAATGGGTCCAACGTTTGTTCCTGCATGACGAAAACGACCACGCACCTCTTCGTTTTCCCAAAAGTGCGGCAGCGAAGGGGAACTTGACGAGCGAAATTGACGGCGGCCGTGTGATTTAACGCGCGCGCCACGTGTTAATAATATTTATCCCGACATCGAAGCCGCGTTTAAACGTCCGTAAACGCGGCAGCTGAGAAATTCTCCAGAAATAACATCGCGGCCCTTCGGCGAGCGGCTGCCGATTATTTTACGACCGTCTTTGTTTCGTCTCGCGCCGAGACTAATTGGACGGCCTTTATATAAAAAGAGTCAAGCGCCAGTTTTAACTTTTCTGCGGACGAGGGACTTTGTCCCAGCCGAAACTTCGGCCGAGCGCCGAAACTCTTTCGACGAACTCTTCTGACAAACGTTGTCAAATTATTGCTAACGCAAAATCCAATTCAGCTTCGCGATAGGATTAGAGGAATATTGCCGCTTCCGCGACATCACGCGCAAAGCTGAGCATCACCATAGGGGGATTATTGTCGTTTCCATGGCCGCCGTTTTCAGGCGCGTCATTCTGAAGCGCGTCGTACTATGGCGCAACTTACAATTTCGCAGCGAAACTATTTTCCACCGAGTGTCTCTTATCTCGCCCGAATTATCCCGTTATAGTAAATTCCCGTCGCGCACGTGGGAATTCCGGGACGCGATGCAGGACATCGGATAAACCGCCGAGCTCGTCCCAAGCGAGACGGCAATTTATTCGGATACGAAATTACGCCCACTGGCGATTTCGTGGAAGAGTACAGTAACCGACCAACTAAGTTTGCATACAAAAATTACCGCAGCGCCATTCGAATTGTAATTTGCGAAAGGATCGTCGCGCAATTACGCGCAGAAACGTGCGGGACCGATAACCTTTTCCTTTTTTCTCTTTGAGAGACGAAACGTATCTCTCGCGTATCGTGACTTGCGGTGAAATAAGAGCCAGCGTGGCACTTTATTAACAAGATGCAATCTCGTCGACAAATATAGCGTCAATAAAAGCGATTTCTCGTTTGCGTCCATCACTGACGGAAAAACTTGAGAAGCCTCTTAGCAGTCTCTCTGATCCTTCGGAATATTTCACAACCGCGAGTTCGATTTCCCCGACTTTTCGTGGACTTCTCGCAAAGTCCTCTCGTCACGTCTGTCATCGCGTCAATGCCGATTAATTATTCGCCCGTCATTTCGGATGTTCATGGAATTCTTCGTTCCCTCGATTGCATCGTGCGATTTCCGACCACGAGTCCGCATTGCCGTTCGCATTGTTACGACCTATAAACCCATATTATCGACATGATGCGATTGCACTCGCCGAAGTGACATTAAGTGACGTTGATTGTTATCAATGAATATATGACGATGCTCGTCGTTGACACACATTATCTTGATATCGCTCATCATTGCCTGCGAATTTAACGTCCATGTGCACGATATGTATATGTATGTACATGTATGTATGTATGTATATATGTATATATATATATATATATATATATATATATATATATATATATATATATATCTATACAGGATCATCCAGACTCTCCTCCGCAATTTTTGTGGGAACGTAGAACAAATTGAGATGAACATAAAATTTCTACATCGTTTTGCGATATTCGCAACAATAGAAATAATAATTAAATAAATAATTACGTAGATTTAGTTAATTAATGAAAGAAAATTG